CCACTTCTTAAAACACTGACTAGACACTGGCTGTTTTTTATATTTAAAGGCAAATAATAATTTGTTAAACTTAGATGCCACCCAACTCTCAATGATTCTTGGTGGCTTGCAACAATCAAATACCCTATTTGTTTTATGCCATTTTCATATATATAATGTATTGAAACATTTTCCTATAACTCTCACAATATTTTTTTTCTTCTTCAGCTACTGGCTTCAGATAAGCTACTGATTTCAAATAAGACTGGGAAGCAAACAACTTCAATTTCCTTTGTTTCTAATATAAATTGCAAGGCTGTATGCACCCATCTTTTAGTACAGGTAATTTAAAATCGAGAATGAGAAAAAGAAAGAAAAGTAATCTCATTCGTACACATATCTAAGTATTTCTAGATTAACTCTCTGACGTTGTTGCATTCTCTTGGTCAAGAAAAATATTTTTAGATGCCATGGAATATACACATTCTTTGAAATGCAATTGTCATGACAGAAAAGTTAAAATTTATGAATGTGACCTACAGAAATTAAAAACACCTCTTAAAAGTGTGATTCCTTTAGGCTGTTTCAACATTTATGTGAAAATTAAAATGTAAGAGTCTTGTAGAATCTGAGCAAGATTCTGTTCAGTCCAGTTCTCTTTATAGCAGTGGACAGACACATATTGCTGGAAAGCTCACATGAACACCTTGAAGATTTCCTTCTATTTGTTCCCAACAATTATTATCCAGACTATGGAAGCTATAACTCACCATCATTCTTTGTCTAAGTTTGTCTAAGTCTATTTAAAACTGTCCATGTCATTGCCATCACCATATCTTCTGGCAGCAAATCGTATAAATTGAAGTGTATATTGTATGAATAAACAGACCACAACGTATAGCACCACTAAATTGACCATGGCTGGTTTTAGAAACTAAGCAACCTTTGTACAGTGGTACCTCAGGTCACGAACGCTTCTGTTCACGACCAATTCGGGTCACAAACAGCACCGTTTGCAAAATTTTGCTTCCGTCTGCGAACAGGTCGTGGCTTCCTGTATGGAGGGAAACTCTCCCTCCAAAAAATACCCGCCTCCCCACCCGCCTTCCTGTCCTCCACGCCAGAAGTCACCTCGAGCAAGGTTAGCGTTCTCTCTCTTC